TTTTTTATTGTTAATGTCACTGGTAGTTCAAAAGTCACATAAAAATGTTTATAATACATTGACATGTTGATAACACAGTCTCAAGACTAGTCTATGCATTAGTGAGTGTGATGGTGTTCATGAGGTGTTGCTCCGCGATGCGTCGCTCTAGGATGGATGAATACAATTATTACAGTATACCCACTACAAAAAAGTAGACTACACCACTGGTCATGGCCTTTGTGGTCATCCATGGAGCAGAGATAACAGATGCACTGCTGATCAGTGCGGCAGAAAATCTTCATCACCTCGTCATGACGAGAGCAGATGTTCTCCTGAAGCTTTGAGGAGGCTGCAACCAACTTGTGTTTCTTTAATGGAGCTACATCAAAGTGAGGTTGGAGGTGTTGCTCACAGAAAGAGGCCATACACACCAGACAGGACTTGAAGGCTTTCAGCTTCACCCCGGAGCAGAAATCACAGACCACATCTGCAGGTTTTGCAATGGAAAGATCAGGTGAAGCATCTTGAAGCCCTATTTTCTTCAGTTCCTCCACTAGCTCTGCAAGCCTGGTACTTTTCACCATGCAGGCCTCGGTGTGAAGCTCTGCCTGCACTGCGGGCAGCTGTAGGTTTTCTCCTCATTCTCCTTACCCCAGCAGTCTTTAATACATCTCATGCAATAACTATGCCCACACAGGGAATAGTTACCGGATCCTTTAGAATATCCAGACGGATCGAACAGCTACATTTTTCCCGACTCAGACTCACTTGCTGCGCCATTTCTCCTCTACGACAGTGAATGTCAGTAATTTTCACTTTCTGTTTCCAGAGAAAAGCTAATTCCCTAATGTTGAATCAATAATATACAATGTATGGGCTTTTCAGCACATGTCACCACATGGTACTTAGTTTACACCATGGTTTACACCCATCTTTAAACTGTGAAATCTGTGAAAGGGGAGGAACAACGTCTGAGTTGCGTAGACTTTGAGCAGGAGGAGCCTCGCATAGCCAGCAAATAAAGTTGTGTGTGTGGGAAAACTGGCCTTCATTCCAGGAAAAGGAGTGGTTGCAATCCGTCTTTAATCCCTTAGTTAGTCGGCTGTCAGATAACTAACAATACATTTGGATCTTAAAAGGTTAAACAAGATGTCTCACGACTTGAATTCATGTCAACCACATACAATAACAATATTTTCATGAAACAAAACACCAAATACAAATTGAGAATACAAAAGAAGACACACAGGAATCAATTATAGCTGAAAATCAATACACCTCAGGTGACGTTTGAACAATAAAATAGTTTAAAGTAATAGTTTAGCACAGGAGCCTCGCCTGGCGAATAAAACAATTTCCCCTCAATAATAAAATACATTAACCGTGCTTTACCTGAACCTCATCATGACACTAGAGAGGACGGCAGGAATATAATTTCCCGTGTTCGGTGAATGAAACAGAGAGAAAACGACTAGACCAATCACCAGAGAGTTGCATGGAAATAAACGTGTCTTATTGGCTGACAGGTAGGCCTACCTATCCTGTGATAATGTTTAAACTGTCAGTCGGACTCGGAGTTTTTGAAGATGTACATAAGAAAATGTTTCCTTAAAAAAGACGACAATTCTCAAGTGGTGGCTCACACAACATCCCCAGAGCCACCACTTCCGCCAGGTAAACAAGGTATGTAAATGTCAGTAAACTTCCAAGTTATGCGAACATGTAAGCAAAGCATACATTGCAGTTACGTTGTTGACAATACTTTGAATCGCGAGGGTAAGCTAAACCGTTAGCAAGTAGCTAGCCAGAGACATTAAATCAACGCTTTGTCATAATATAAATGTTACGTTTTCTAGCGTTACCTGGTGATTTCAAAGAAAGCTGTCAGTGTTCGACATGAAGCTAGAAGCTACCTTACATTACACAGTCACAGGGAAGTGATTTTTAAAATATCCATAAAGAAAAAGAAAATCTGTTTACAGTTCTGTTTCACATGGGTGTTGAAAGATGTATTTATAGATCTCTTCATTTTGCTCTCAAAGTGCACCAGATTGATGCTTTAAAAAAAAAGCAAAAACATTTTTATTTAAATTATTTAAATGATAAAATCCATTAATAGCGGATACTCATCATTTTGTATTGGCTATACTCTCTTACAGTTTTTGCTAATCTGCGTCACAAACACACTTTTTTTGGGAGGGGCAGTATAAGAACTGTGTTTAAATCTGGGATTTTTCATCAGCCTTTATATTTATTTCAGATTTCAAATCCTAACTGTATGGCACAAACAACAATTCAATTTATTTCCCTCAGGTTTGTCTCAAAATTATACTTTTTTGACTCTTTGAGAAAGACATTAAGAATAACCAACTCCAAAAATAGTAGGCTATATGCACGGCAACATTTCTCAATACTTCAGATGATTCGTATTTGATATTGATATCAGTGAATCTAAACAAACCATGTTATTCCGTTTAGACAATCATGACAGAATAGTAAAAAAGCAAGACACAATTCATGTTTTTTTATCCAACCCTTTTATTGTTTTTCGAAACTGGCGAACAATTTGTTATGCTGGACATCAACTAGATATTTGCAGAACGTTTCATAGTCCTTTTTTTGGATTACACTGTATAACTGTATGAATGTCTTGCTTGAATAAACAGATAAAGAAGACCAAATCATTAACATTATGATATATTAGCAAGCAAGTAGTGGCATCTGTGGCAGATGCCGGAAGTACCTGCCACAGGTGCCACTGAGTAGTGGCATCTGCAAATACGGGTTTAAACCATAAACAGCAGCATTTGTCACGG